GGCGAATCACAACGCTGTGGTTGTTTCACGCCGGTTTTCTGCGTGGTATCACTCCGGTCGAACTGACCTAATGGTGCCGAAGCTTGGGTCTCCCACGCTTGAGAAAGTTTATTATAAAAAAACTTCATTGTAATAATAATAAAAAAGTCATGGCTTATTTTGTTATTGAATAGTCCCTAATTTCGATTTATACGTTAGCTGATTTGATGTGTTCTGAATCTGCCGTCTGCTACGGTCATCAAACCCATAGACGATAATCGATAGTCTTATAAGTCCGGTAAGCCGTAAACGTACTAAACAGTGATGTTCTATCATACTATCATAGATGATATATTGTGAGGCGCTCGCGTCATTAAGTGTACATTGTTGGATAGCCATTTCTGTGGGCGCCGCAGTTTGTTGCGTAACAGGCATTCTATGTACATTTATTGCGATCGACAGAAGTGGTGTAATTCGTGTTTTTACAGCTGCAGTTCGGCATAGGCCCAGACTGGGTGTAGCTCTAACTGTGCTCCGACGATAAACAGACGGCCGCTGTTGCTACTCGCTGAAAACATCCTTTTACGTCATCGCCCCGCTATGGTTTCTGCCTTCGGTGGAGCTATAAGTTCTTATATTATGTGTCTATGTTTGGAAAAAGAATTTATTGCGTTTGGCGACATAGCTATCGGTATGCAGGTTCTCTTGTCACAATTACGTCGAACCTACTATTCTTTAAAAATGTAAAGTAGGTATTTTAGATATATATTCATTAAGAGTCAAATATACATTGACTTTAATGTTGACTAAGTACTAATTAAAGGGGAGTTCTTTTCAAAGATGAAAAGTAGGTCGCTCTTAATTCTTAATGTATCAAATGGCTACTTTCATTAACGCGCCTATTCCAAGACAAACGGCAATACTCACAATTCTCCATAGTGCTAGGCTAAATATGATTTGTGGGACGCATCTCGGACGGACGGCGACAGAGGAGTGTGGCGAGTGACCCCGTTCCGTCGTCCGCCATGCCACAAGATTGTTATGTTTTTGTTTTTTTCTAAAAATTTAACTGAAATATAATGTGAAAATAATATGTCACAAACATCTTAACGACGTCGACGTTTCTAAAATATCTGCTATATGTATCCATTTTCATAAGTATAACAAAGAACTTCAGTTTTATACTGAAGATTATATCGAAACTAATTGTATTGCTTTGAATAAACTCATTGAAAATCAACAGTATGTAGTTGATATTTACGATGTCTATTGATACACATACCATCAAGGTTTGTTGTGTTTAGGTCCCCAATTAAACAGAACTATATTTTTACCACAATGTTGATTCATTGTTTGGATGGATGGACCATGCAATACATTTTAACAAAAGCCAGTTACTGTTACAGGCCAAGAATGTTTCGGTAGATATTTAATCTGTTTATGTAAAGTAAGGGGTTTTCCACAGGTTTTCCACAGGTTTTCCATATTCTTCACTAACTCGCAGTGAATCTGTAGATGTTTTAATGAATACAACAAAAAGTAGACACGCGTTCTATTTTTTTATAAATAAGGTTGGCAAATGAGCAGACAGATTACCTATTACTAGATATTTCAGGATTAGTAAGGGGATGGGGGGAGGGAAGGATCGATCCTCCTTTAACCTCACTCATACGGCGAGACACAACGCTTTCGTTGTTTCACGACGTTGTTTTATCTGTAAGGTATATGTTTAATATTTAAGTACCTACGTACTTAAAATAAATATCAATAATTAATTTCCTGGCTCTTGCTTCTACGTCTCCAAAATCCTCATCCAATTGACTTTTGTACATACGTCGATAAATGATTTCCCTTCACGAGTCGTTGACTGACATTGAGGCAATGCGATGATTTGTGTTCACTCGGACCGATGAGATTGATGAGCCAACATTTTGCGCATATGAAAATAGAGAAGTGATGACTGGTTCACTGTCTACATTTAACTATTAATTAGGTGTACGAATGTTGAATGTCAAAGTGGATATACATACAGTATCTCATTGAATAAGTTGATAGTACAGTAAACCATGACCAGATTGTAATGAAGTATTATGAAAAATACAAACTACGTATAAATAGAACTCCCTTTCAATCTTAGTCTTCCAAACGAAACAAGTTGGCACTGGATGACGATTTCACTCTAAAGAAGTTAACTAAGTTTAAGTCATTTAGAAAAAATCTGATTTAATCTTTAATATCACATGGAAATGTCAATCCGGCATGACGATGGCAGACATTAAGTTAGTAAACATATTGTAGTGGGCGGAGGCAGGTGCTTGCGCCCACGCAGGCTGAGGGCCGTGTGCAACCTGACGTCACCGCGACTACCTTCCGATGACGTAGCATACGGAACCTACATTCATTTACATAAACATTACTTTCAATTTTACTAGACGCGTGTGGGTTTCCAACTAATGTATACGCTGATCCATTTATATATTTAAATCGAAAGTATTTAGTCGAATTTATTGCTGTGAAGTATTTTCATTGTGGGATATGTAACCTGCTAAACAGAGGCACTTTGGGTAAGATTTGAAAAAGACGCTAAAGTTACCCATGGTAGGCTTATCGCGAGAAGCGCTTAATATTATCTAGATAAATATAATTTCTGAAAATACGTTCATTTACACTATTAATAGCTCTGATAACAGCTCGATACGCTCGCACTGAGCGTTTTGTAAAACCAATACATTCCAGATAATATGAAAGGTTCATTTAGTTAAGGTACGTCATAAACGCACGATATGTGTACGGAATTGAACAATAAATCAGCGACAACGTAATAAAGACTAGATGCGACAACTGCGCGACTGCATGCGCTAGTTGACGTTTGCGGCGTCTGCGCATCTATGCTGACATTTTGATTGACGTGCTACGTTACGCTACGCGCATCACGCATGCGACCAGCCAGCCTACTGCTTCATTTTATTTCATCGTAATTTTCAGCCACTCAAAACTCACACTCACATCAAAGGAGCAAGCCTTGACCTATATCAAAAACAAAAATCTTTCTACTGTAAATAAATCCGTGATCTAGTCTCACGGAACAAGCAGTGTTTAAAATTTTTTTACATGATTTTTTAACAAGTTTTTATTGCATGACATAAAAAGATTTATTTCAAGTCTTCAGTAAGCCCTTGTAATTAAAAAGTGACATGAAGTAGCTCTTACGCTTTTTGAACATAAAGACGTCATTTTTAATTTTAAAATGGGTATATATAAAATACTGCAACTTCTAGAAACAGAATGACTACCTAATGACCGATTGACTAAGTGACCAAGTAGTGTCGTGTGATTCCGAATTATGATACAACGTCGCGTGGGAAGCGTCGACTCACATCAGCTACGATGACTACCACAGTCTTCGTTGCTCCTCCACTGTTCTCGAATAAATTGTTAATATTTAATTAATTCAATTTTAGCATTTTTATTGCGACCAGAATATAAGAATATGTCTGCATAGGTTAACAATTTTACTATTTATCACCATCATAGTTTCAGTTAATTGTTATCAAGTTCATCAGCTACAAAATGTTTTGAGATTGGAGAGGCTTATATCTCCCCTTTATGATCTTTGATGGCCGAAATTAATAACCAACATATAACGAATATATTTGACATGATAATTTAACCTATATACACGATGTTAAAAATCCAAAGTTCCATTGAGATCGGATTTTTATTTCGGGCGCTAGTAAAAATATTAACATACAAACCGTTCTAACGCCGATTATTAAGTACCTATAATACCCAATAAAATGTGCCAACATTAATGTAACTTTTATATTATGGTTTTATACAACACCGAAATGGCCACCGAAAGGGAATACATTTCTCTATGGTTTTAATGATTGGCAATGGCCTTACGTACCTACATCTGCCTTCATAATTTCCACCAAACTCGTAATGAATCATCAGTGCGCACGTGCGCGAGATTGTTTACAAAATTGTGTTTTGTAACACCAACGTAAAATGCGTAACAGGCATTTACACTCTTATTAATTTACTGTTGTTTAGCTATCGAAATGATAACATTTATTAAACTCTTTATCTGTTATGTATTAACATGCTGATACAATAAATAATTTCTTGGCATGCACTACATTTACCTTTGCTACACTGTAAAGTTACTGCGATCTTAATAACTTTATATTATAATCCTCATTGCATGATGAAGTCATAATCTATAGCTATTTATTAGTTGCATTTTATAACAGAATTCAATCTGATTTTTACGTTTTTGAAGTCTGCATTTGTTTACCTTACTTTTAGTTTTATATTGTGCGTGACTCACACACAGATGTTTTATTTTCAGCTCGTATTTTCTATCCCTCGTATATCGGGCTTTATGAGAGTTTCAAACATTACATAATACATCCATCTTTCTTCGCCTATGGTAACAGTTAAACGTTCTTTAAATGCATAATACAACAGTTTCATGATTTTAAAGCCTATTTTATCGTTGCGTTGATGCGTTCTTACAAGTAATTTATTTGATTGGAAATGAAAGTTTCACTGAAACGGTCCATCACGTTAAATAAATTAAATCCATACTGTCAGGCTTATGTTAGTTTACTATATTTACATTATTTAAAATGTTTCAACATAAATATTCTAGGTTCCGCGCCAAATGGTATTTCTAAACACTTAAAACAAAATATGTGCTAGTGTTGTAGATGTTGTTCTCACCCTATTCACGTAATCATAAAACTGAAACGGCATAACCGTTCCCGGCCGTATTGCAGTAAGTAGTAAGTAACGCACCTTCACGCGCATAAACTCGTTCAAGGACCCGAAATAATGAGGGCACCGTGATCACAACGCGCTCCATTGCCTCGCCTCGCCCTATTCACCTCACCCAGCGACCGACGTGCTGAGAGCAGAGACACTTCCTACTCTGTTATTGTGTTTATGTCTGTCGATCTCGAGTGATATCTTCTGAAAGCTTTTAAATTAAAGTATTGAATGTTTGTATCATGTAGAGAGCCGTTCAACGTGTGGCGGAAGCGGCGGCTCGGAGGGCTCGGAGGGGCGTGCGTCTTGGCGCGTCACGCTGGACCACGACCTCGTGGAGACCCTCAGCGCCATATACCCCGAGTGGTTCAAACCACAGCACCGCCGGGAGCGCAGCCGCGCGGCCTCGCCCGTCTCGCCTGCATCACCGCCGCGCACTCCCGCCACACCGCCCTCAGACGACACCTTCAGGTAACTATCAACTCCGGATAATACTCATTAAAAGTATTCATTAGTGATTCCTTTTCCTAGAAAGGTATCTCGTTGCTAAAATGCTAACAATATGACTATCCATACAGTCCAACATACAGTTTCTTAGATTCTTCTGAAATCTATGTATGGTTTTCTTCATGAAACTGACAGAGAACGACTTCGGCGTTAAGTCCGCCATTGTACGTTGTGCAATAAGTATAAAATAATAAAATAAAACTGCTAACGTTTTAGGAGAACCTAAAAAGAGTATTTTGTAGGTCACTTATTAATTCCTTGATTATGTTTGTCAGTAGTTCTGGTGCGGAGGAGATGGCTGGGCGGCAGGCGAGCTGCAGCGGCGCTAGCGAGCCGCCGAGCTCGCCGCGCGTGTCCCCGCCCAAAGTGGTCGTCGACGACAGCCCTCTGCAACCAGCCATGGGAAAACATAAAGAATGTAAGTACTATATTAAATTTTACTCAACTTCTGACCCATATACACTCACATTATAGGAATATAATTGTCCATTAACTTTATATTGGCAGTAGATTTTCAAACGGAAATCTTGTAATAAATAGAAACCAAAGTAGTAACGAATAAGATAACCAAAGATATATATGTAGTTTATCGTTACAATATCAAATTTAGAGTCTATTGAAATAATTTAGATTTATTAGTATTACCGACATTTATTGATCAGGGTATCAAATTAGTCGACGGTAGAAACATGTACAATAAATATCAGAAGAAATTACGTAGTTAGTAAGTACACCAAAAGTTTACCAACCATGGAATCTGTAACGGAGAAAGTAATTAATTCATTACAATTAGTGATGATCCCGTGTGAATTAGGTCACATTCATTATAACTCGGAAGCTTGAAGAAATAACTGAGTAGAAATTTCTTTATGCTTTCAATTATTATTGACATGGCGTTTTAAAATGAATCTGCTTTGTGTCATGTCAACAAGTTGGTTACTTGCATTTGGTTTAATTTTGTTCCCAATTAGATACAATGTCATTTAAATATCGGTAATTGATAAAGTATTTGTGTAAATCACGCACACTCTTTCTTTTTCTTCGCATTCTCTTAGTTGGTTAAAGTCAGCAATTAGTTACTAGTGCAAATATGGCATATTTTACTCAGAACAACTGTCGTTTGCCCTCTATAAGCTTAGCAGGTTCGGATTGCATGTTGTTGTTCTTGGTTTGGCGTAATGTTTGTTATTGAGAACTCTGGCTTACCGTAACAATTGTCCAATGAGTTCGTATGATAACTAGCTTCACATTCTCTACAAAGTTCAGTCGTCAAATTTCTCAAAATTTGTTTACTCGGTATTTTTGGGATTACCTATAACTAAGTTATAGATAGACAAGATATATAGATAAGATAGATAAACAAGTCTTGTCTTTCTTCCGCATTCAAAACTCAGAGGGAAGTCGAAAGTATGTTTTCTCATAGTTATATCTGCTGTTTTATTTAGTTGTGGGATTTAAGACGTCTAGAGTTCGTCTTCTTGAGACTTGTTGGAGTCAGAGCTTCGGTATTTTTATTAGTAGGTATTTACTCTAGGTCTTGGCTACATGGTTTACAAGAGCTGTGGCGAGTTTGTTCTGTTTTAAGTCATCATTATTATCCTGTATATGGTGACAAAGTCTGAGATGTAAGGGCCACTGGCCCCGCGTTCGTCTCGCAGTCCGTCTGTTGTTTGCATTAGTATGCCAATAATGTCAGCACTTCCTGCCCTGTTTGCTTAGTCTGTCGGTCTACTCACATCCCGAACAAACCAAATATCAACCCTTTAACAATTTCTTTCAACTGAATATGAAATATATTTTGTTACTCATGTAAAAAGTCGGCGTATTTTACCAGTAAATCTTAAAATTCTCCGAACCTCCTCTGTCATCTAGTGTTACACTTGAGACGCATCGCGATGTGTCATTATATTTTTATATCTATATATCGAAATATGGATAATGATGGAAGTATTTATTTATCCTATATTCTAAGGCATATTTAAAAATCTGATCTTAGAAATTTTCAACGAAAAATGGACGCTATGACTAACATTCTTCCGCCTGGTCTTGACAGCCTTTGAATCAATTATAAATTCTATATATTTTTTAATACAATCTATTAATATTTTAGTTACTAAACTCAATACTTCTTACTTAATAAGCAGTATTATATCAATTAAATAATATAATTTCCTGTTACTGCTTGAAATAAATTGTTTTTATAAAAAATAAATACTTATTGGTTATAAACACACGCGCCCATATGGTATTCATTTCTGTATAAGTTGCGCGTAATTAAAGGCATGAGTAAAACAAAATTGAGTGGGTATCGAGGTAAAGTCGCCCAGTAACCCACAATATTCGGCCCAGTGGTAGTGAATGTTTCGTCTGTAATACGGTCGCGGCATAACACTAGTTTCCTTGTGCAGTGTTTATTTATATTGGCGTCGCGCCAGCGTTGTCCGCCCATCGTTCGCTGCTCGCCGCTTGTCTACACGCAAACAAGAATATAGCTCGCCTCGCCTACGCTCTGCTGCGAACTTTATCGATATAATCTGTGTGTATCGATCGACGTATCGATCACGTCGGCTCCGCACGCGACACGCTACGTCAAAGTTCGTCACCTGGCGTCATAACACTGTATTCTTCACGACGATGTGCCATCTATTCAAGCATCGCCCATTGTTGTATGCAAAAGGTAGCCGGCAAACATCGGCACATTCATTCGCAATATATTCCAGTCAAATCGTTTGCGCCTGTCTCATTTATTACAATTGTTAGTGATCTAGAGGAAAAATAATAAGGAAAATAGGTTTGGGTAATGCGTGTTATTGCAATATAAGCAGTGATATATATCTTTGTTTGCAGCTTTAAAAGTGAAGCTGATGATGAGGCGGCCAATCAACCAGCTTGTGGCTCAAGGAATCATGCCGCGTAAGTGATCTTTCGTATTCACATCATTTAGTTGTTCACATACTGTGATAATTGAGTACACTTTTAAATAGCAAATTGGTATAACACACGTGCCAGGCATTGCGGGAAGCGCCCACCGTCGCACCGAACTGGCGCGTGGGATAAAGGAATTTTATTTACTATTCTGTTGAATCGTTTAACGAACATTTCTTGGTGACCAAATTAAATATACCTACATTGTGTTAAATGTAGAAGAAATGAGCAAAAACGTAAATGTGACTTCCTAGTAAAATGGACAACATGTCCATCGAGTGTTTGCATTTTAATTAACCCAGTATGCTTGATGTAATGTCAACACTTTAGAAAAAATTCTTTTGTGTTCATGTTCATGATGTTTTTTCAGCTTTAAAAACACCACCAGCGTATTTCGAGCAATGCAAGCAATTAGAGAGAGCGAAAACTGGAGACTTATTAAAAGCAAAAATACAGCGGCGTCCGGACCGACAGGAACTCGAACGAAGACACATATTGGAACAAGTAGGTGTAATGTCACTTTATTGTTATTTCATAATTAAGTCAGTGTTTTGATACGTGACACGACTAAATTATACTTTAATACTCCCAAGTAACTCAAAACTTTATTAATTTCAGGAGAGCCATGTCGATCCTAGTCTAGCCGAAAAACAACGCATGCTAAAAAAGGCACGTTTAGCGGATCAGCTCAACGACCAACTGTCACATCGACCTGGTCCACTCGAGTTAATAAAGAAAAACATACTACACACAGAAGAGACTATCGAAACCGCTGTAAAGAGTGGCACTCTCGCGTTCAAAGCGACCAGTGAAGGTGCATCGGGTCGACCTCAGCATCCGTCTTCGTATTGCGGGCCGCCCGAGGAAGTATCTCCTTCACCATCACCGCCGTCTACACTCTCTCCCGTGAGCGTAGCCTCGCCGCCCCAGCACCCGGCTCCCGGCAAAGACAAGAATAGGAAGAAGAGTAAACAAAAGCAACAACCTAAAGCGAGGTTTAAGTTTCACGAATACAAAGGGCCTCCGAATGCAGCAAAAGCGTCGTCGCCCCCGGGCTCCGTGGAGACTCCGTACGAGCTGCTGCTGCAGCAGCAACAGTTGCTGCTGCAGCTCATGCTGCCCGCCTCGCCCGCGCCCTCCTCCGCCGCCTCTGTCGCCTCCGACTCCTCCGACGCCTACCCCGCTCCTCCGCCGCCGCCGCCCCTGCCTGTGCCCGCCGGTGTCACGCTCGTTGCGCCCGCTCGCTTCGAAGACATGAAAGTGTCGGACTTGCGCGCCGAGTGCAAACGACGTAACCTTCGGGTATCGGGGCCCAAACCGCAACTCATCGACCGACTGCGGCCATTCCTACTCGAGAAACAAGAAGAACCGCCGAAGTCGCCGGCGTCGGTGGCCTCTTTCGTCTCGATCGCATCCCCGGAAGTGAAATTGGAGCCCGAGCCTCCAGAAGACATCGTCCAGTCGCAGCGGCGGCAGATAGAGGAGCTGGAGAGGAAACTGGAAGCGTCGCGGCAGCAGCTGGAGGCGGTGCGGCGCGAGGCGGCGGGCGCGGCCGCCAGCGACCAGAGCCGGCGCCTGCTGCAGGCCCATCTCTGCGTGTCGCAGCTGCGCGCGCAGCTCGACGCGCTGACGCAGCCCGCCGCGCCCGCGCCCGCGCCCCGCCTCGTGCTGGCCGCCTCCGACGCCGCGCCCGACCGCCTCGTACGCCTCTTCACCGTCACGCCGCCCGGCCCGCCGGCCGACGCCTCGCACGACTCCACCCCGCAGAAGCCCGCTAACCCGGCTTACATACTTAATGGCGTGAAGGTGGTGCCTATCGCGATCCTGCCCACTCACTACGAACCCGAACGAGCGGCCCCGCCCCCTCCTCCGCCACCGCCGCCCCCACCGCCTCCGATGCCACAGGTTCCCCTAGGAGCTGACGTGCACGACGCTGAAAATAGTCAAATCATGGACGACGTACTCGAGATCCTCGTAGAAAATGGCGAGCTACCACCTTCTGCCGTTGTTGATGCGACAGTCGCTCCGTCCTTAGATACGACCTACGTTTCTAATGGCACAAACAGTTTTGCTCCAACGGATGTCTTGACAGATGATGTACTCAATGATAATCATGTTCGAGATTCACTCGCTGCAGACGAGCTACAAAGAGAACTTGATGATATTCAAAATGAAATTATGAATCATGCGGACTTGCAAGCGGTAAACGCAAACAATCGGTGTCAAGTTGATCCTTCAACGTCAGATATCGACACTGATATCACGGTTGACTTGTTGTCCAATGGGGAATTCCACACAGACTTTGGTTCCGATCCCAATTCAGTCGATAACGATGATTTCTTCGGTAGTCTACTGTCTGGTGACGGCGGAGACCGATTAGAAGAAAAATCACAGGCGATGGATATCGGCGAGGATGTACCAGATAGAATGACTCCCCTTACAAACGGAGACATACTAGATCACACGCGAACTGGGTTTGAATACATGGATGATCTATCGCTGCCGTCGTTCCAGAACGAGGAGTCCCGGCACGACACGTTCGACGAGCGGCCTTGCGAAATCGACCTGAAGGAGTTCGGGATCGACACGGGCTCGCACATGCACGTAGACGGCGACGCGTACGAGTACATGGACACGGAGCTGATCCCCAACCTGTTCGGGCGCGGCCACGTGGCGCAATGCGACCCTCTGCTGGGCGGCGTAGGCCCGGGCCCGCTGGCGCCGCGCCCCGCGCGCAAGCTCTACTCGTGGGACTGCATCGAGTACGACGCCACCTGACCCGCGCGCCGAGCTTTCGTCTCGGGCTGTCGCTCTCTAAAGATGCTTACCCTATGATCTCTCGCCGCCTCCTGTCGCCGTGGCTTTCGTTTTCTCGCGAATGACTGACATTAGAGTGACCTCCGTCTACTGAAGGACGCTGTGCTGGTGCAATGTGAACGTATAATATTTTACTTACTTGCGATCGGTCGCTACGGAGTGGCGACGGTCGAAGCGCTAGTCTACTCTCGTGACTCGTTCTTCCATAATTATGATGACTTTTATCGAAGACTAGACTTAAGAGATTGATGTTGTGAAACACAAAGTGTTTACATTTATATAGAAGTGTATGATTTACTTTAGTTTATGTACTTAATGCTGTACGTAACGTTTGTATCGCTAGTTGATAATAGTTGAATGTTTCATTTACTTCACTAGTGAGTGATCGCGCGTCGCCGCCGCGTGCGCAGACATACTTGGCTCACATAATATATTAAGTCCGTTTTATTTACTATTTATAGGCATAATTATTATTATCTACTTATGTATATATTGAGAATAATAATACTCAACATAGTTGTGGATTTCTGCATTCCGCCCGATGACTAAAACTTAGGGAAAAATTATCATAAGAAAAGTTGTTTTTGTTTAGGCACAATCAATCAATGAGTCACCTGGTCACGTACACATTGTGTTAATTATAATTATACGATATAAAAGCTTAAGATTGATGTTGTGTCAATTATTAAAATCCGCTTGAGGCTGTCCCTAGCGCATGGATAGCTATTTCCCGAATCAATAAGTGACATTCCAGTCTTGTTGAAGTGCAAAATGTGGCACAAGATCGCTTGTTTCTCGCGTTACGGTTATTTGATTGATCAAATTTGACAAAATTATAATTCACGTTTATGTTTAGCGGACATTTCAAATTTAGGAAAGTATTGAGAACAAGACGCACCTTCACAAGCCATCGTCATGGGTGGGACCAGCTTGGGAACAATGTTAGATATGAATTCATTTAGATAACTTAGGGAGCCAGCTCCTCGCAGCAGAACAACTATGCAAGCACTTCGGAATCACTTGTTAATTGTACACTTCACTGTTATAGACTTGACTAACGTCTCGCAAAAGTATCGTAATTGTTTGAGTTTACCTAGTTGATTATTTTAATTATTGTACAACAACATTCTTAAAAAAATGTATCATTCCATTATAATGTCTAAAATGTAGGATAGGTGCGCCGTTATCAATAAGTTGTCGTTTGTACTCGATTACGCGATCTTTACCTGGATATGGTGATAATTAGTAATTATTATCTTAGAGATCCTCAAACGACTGGACCAATTTGTTTAGAGGCTTCAAACTGCCCTTATAACGAGATAGCTAATGAAATTTGAAGTGCATACTTCTTTAGGATGCCATTTCATAGAATGGCATCTTTTGCGTAGTCTGGGTTTAGTTATGTATTTGAATATTAGCTTGTTATTTATTGCCCTTAGTTCCATGCAACTTAAATCTTATAAGTAATATACAAAACAGTAACGGATTGCTTGCATACTTGTTTGAATGCATATTTATAATTTATTTATTTTTGAAGTCATTCAAGTGTACTTACAGTTTTTGGTTCTGTTGTATTCATTACTATGTGTGAGTGTTTTTTTACTAATGTATTTTGTATAATATCACGTGTTGTTTAGCGTTTACCTTTGCTTCATCGGAGAAGGATTAGATAAAGCAGAAATTGAAAATCGAAAATATATTGCCATTTTTTGCATTTACAATTTATTTAGTTTTTGAATACTTGTTACTACAACGAATATGGATAACTGCCCTGTGTGTGCAAACGTTCAAATATCAGGCTACATTATTTATTATCTATGATGCAGTTTTAAGCAAGGAGGCGTCGAAATGGTTATTGATTGAATAACATCTAATGTATGGGTTGCAGATGTTGAGACGGGTGTGCATTTGTACTTTAATCAATATATAACTTATGATAAATTTAAAGTACATTTGCACATGGAATGGTGCTATTAAAATTTAACATTGAATTTATATAAAAGAAGATTTAACTTTGTATAATTTGTATATTGGATTGTATATGTGTGGCTCTAATGTTAATGTAAACATGATTAACAATTAAAAATCAATGTCACTAGTTTCGGACTTGTAAAGTTTTCGAAAATACGGAGCCAGCGAGAGGCTGCGTTCAAAATTAAAACAGGGCTCGCAAATTGTAATTTGCTTTATTATTTAAGTAATATTCCATTATCTAAGTGAATTATACGGAATCTTTACACTAGATTTAAATATATAAAATCTATTTGCTCATTATCAAAATTGTACCCATGTTAGTCAAATATATTCAAATCATAAAGGGAGTGAATGTTCATATCACATCCCGAATAATATTAACAGGCCTAGTGTGTTAATTAGCTTTGTATTTACTCTTGTGCAAGAGTATAGTTTAAATGTATTTAACGAGATACTAAGTGAGATTAATGTTTGATAAATAGCATATTATCTGCATACTTGTTATTATTGTTGTAATTATTTTAGGAGAGTTTTAATATTTGTTTGTAATCTAAGTTATATCCAACCCGACGTTATACTATATTTTTACACATAATATTGTATTCTTCTACATTAATTTGCTCTCTGCTGTATACTTATTACACGTTATAATCATTCGGCTTCTATAACCTTACTAAATATTAAGGTTGAATACATTTTCATTGACAAACTGCTGGTAATAACTGAACCCTTTGAAGCAATACCCGGCTCAAAGCCATTGGTTTGTAGTAGAGCCAAGTATTCAATAAATATTAAGATGTGATAACCACTGGAGTCGGATTTGTAGTGTAACTGGATAGTTTTTTTACCTTGCCCTGTAATGAAGCCTTGTAAATATTTACTAAGCCTTTATTAGTATAAGGAGAGAATGTTGAATAAAAAGTTTTTGACATAATAATGTTTTATTTTATAAAAATACGTACAGTAATACTGCACTTGGCTGAGTGATGATCATAGATCTCTATTGTATGTTTTTCATCATCAGCCTATCTTCTTCCACTGCTGGATATAGGCCTTTCTAATCGCACGCCACTGAACTCGATGTTCAGCTCTTCTCATCGAACCACTTGTATATTGTCAGTCCACCTATCTGGTGGACGCCCTACACTACGTTTGACTAGACGTGGCCTCCATTATAAAACATGTCATGTTGTCTTAGATTATACACCTCTACATGTAACCACCCCGTTACAGCACATAGTGCTGTCTCTGTTTGTTCTGTATTCTGAGTGTCTCTATAAAAAATGTTGACTTTTCGTTGAAACAATTACTCATTAACTTGATGAACTAAGTTGCGTATCTTAATCCTTATCTTTGCACCCTTAGGTGCAAAGTTATTTATAAGTATTGGTTAAGATACGACTCCAGGTTTCCTCGCTAGTTTGCCTTCACTGATGTCTCTGATGTCAAGACAAATAAAAAGTACAAATATGTTACGTTTTCCATGGACGTATTATACAAACGTTTCTTATATTAGATCTATGCGTTTTTATTGTATACTAGCTATTCCCGCTCGGTTTCACTCGCTGCTCGACTCCATTTGATTGTTTATTTATATATTTGTTGATTGCCTTTAGCGCTTTGAGACATTGAAGCTATCTATCAGTGAAAGAATTTTGGTAATCCTACCAGTGGTTCGAAAGATTACCCCCTTTATACAAACTTACAAACATACAAACTTACAAATTTTACCTCTTTATAATATTAGTACAGAAGTATAGATGAGTATTTATAGTTTATGGTCTTGACGTGCTGAACTTGACAGCTTAGCTTAAAAAAACTTGTATCCAGGCCATAAACCCAAAAAAAAGAACTTGACTGCAGTGACAGCTTTTAATTTGACATTGACAGTTCATCTCGAAATCAAATGCCAATGGCGTCAAACCTTTAATTTGGAAGCGAACGAGAAATAAATAGATTTGCTGATACTAATAAGTGGAATTTGCAATTATTGACGATCTCCAATAATTAGCTTAACGCATCGAAGTGACGTGGTAAAATATTTAGTTATGATATTAGCTGAAACTCTTCTGTTTTCATTAACACTGATCGACAGCGGTGGCATATTATTTCTTCTAGTTTACTACATAATTACTCTCTCTGACTTGGAATGTGATTATTTGAATGCTCAAGAATGTTGTGAAAAGCTTAACTATTGGATGCTACCAAAGTATATTGCGCACAGTTTCATAACGGTCTTACTATTATTACATGGTCAGTTGCTCTTATTCGTTTTCAACTTGCCTTTGTTTATTTGGCTAACATTCGAATATTTTACCGTTCCACGGGGGAATTTAGGCGCATACGATCCTGCGGAGATACTGAATCGAGGGCAGCTCAGAAAGCACTTGAAGGATGTAATGATTAATGTTGGTTTTTATTTAGTATCTTTTTTCATTTACTTGTACTGCTTTATATTAGCGTTGCTTAAAGGCGATCCACTCCAGAGGTCAGCAGATGACCAAATTGTAACGGAAATATAAGATAACTAAGTTAAAAAGCTAAGATGGCTGAAGAACCAGTTATTCCAAGTTCTTTTAATGTTTCTGATGAGTTTGATCCAGTTGATGAAACTGTAAGATGTGAGAAGTTAGATATACCAATTCATTTGGCAGCTTTCCTAAGGAATAAAGAGTTAAACAGAGACTTTCAACAGATAATTCAAGACCAAAGTTTGTTGGAAAAAGTTACAGCTAATTATGTAATTGTTAAAAAAATTCTTAGTTTCTTGCCATGGCAGGACAAGTTAGTGTGTAAAAATGTTTGCTCAATGTGGAGGTCTGCTGTGAACACATTACAAAAGGAACAGATTGGCCCGGCAGACTTTGCCATTAGCTTGAGACTGTGTCACATTAAAACAGGAGTAAAGTTGGTGCAGTCAGATGTTTTCTATACTGAGCCGCTGGTTGCAATAGTATTTGGCAATGTAGGAGGCTTTGGAGTTACATACAAATGTGAGACACTTCTATCTTGCCCCTGTGATCCACCATGTGAAAAGAGTCATTACCGTAAGTATCTATTTAAAAAAATATATTTGTTTCTACTGATAATGATTTATTTAAGCCCTTCTTTATAAACTGTATTTGTTTATGTTTTAGTAGTTATTTGAAATCCAATCAGTTAAATGTTATGTATCAGATTTCATACACTTGCTAATTAGACTTTTTGGTTGTTTGTTAGTGTCTAATATTGATGAGATTCTCATTAGATTTAAGAGATAATATTAATATTGTGATTAAATATGGTAAATTTTATATTATTCTTATTTCAGTTGTAGATTTGGTGGACAATTTAGTGGTGGCTCCGAAAAAATGTATGCTGGCAGTAAAAGCCTGTGACACATCATTTATGCCCATAAAAAATTCAAAAACCCATCACTTAACAGTTGGTAGAAAATTATGTAGAATCAGTGGCTTTATAGGAGGAATTTACATACCAGTCATACCAAATGTTAACTTCCAAATCATCAACATCAAGAGTGTTCGTGATATCAAAAGAGTCTTCATGAAAACCATAGATAAACTGGCAGAGACTCACTACATTAAGGGTGCACTGGTCTTTGTCAATGGCAGTTTCATTCTGCATTCAGTGGATGACATAGTATTTTTAAATTATTTGAAAGAGGTGTAAGTATTTTATTTTAAACAATAATCTAATTTAAAAAATAATATAAGTGTTCTATATCTATTTATTTATATTTTGTATGTATTATATGTTTACATAATCTATATTGAGATTTTTCATATCGATGCTTCCGACAACAAAGGTCGTAAACACCAAAATAGCACTTTTGGTAATCAACGAAAAACAAAAAATAATTTAGGTTTTGGCTTATATCTTTTTAACTTTAAAAGTTGTAAAATTGTGTTCTATACAAGAAATACGTAAAATACGATGGTGTTTCATAATATATTATTGCTATTTATGTCAAAGCCTTATTTTAAAAGTTAGCTTGGACATACACCCCAGAAAATTCAAGAAGTTGGTATTTACGCCCACTAACAAATCAATGGAGAACGATTTGTCTAACGGAAGTTAGAAGTATGCACCAGTTTTTAAATACAATAATTCTGGCTTTGGTTTTAAAAACCATATAGTGAAATAAAAATGAGTGTAACCACGATCTGATGCGATGGTATGTAACAAACATGGAAATATCTGAAGCGAAAGTCTATAGTCCTTTCGACTGGCAGGTCCTAAAGGTATAAAAATACACTTAAGTACGTATATTATAGGCATCTGCCCGTATATAATTTAATCAAGCGTTTATTACAAGATGCCTATAGTGTTCTACCTCCAACGACGTACCTAACCAGCCAGACATAATTCAAAATGTTAAGTAATCATTATGTTTCATGGATTTCAAGAAGATTTTATAATCACGACATTTTTTTAAAACGTATTGATAATGAATTACAAAAAAATATAAGTAAATATTCTACCAAACTATTAAAATTATTAGAGCAGTAATGCTCTAATAATTTTAATTAATTTTTAAGGGCGTTGGTGAAAATGGACATTGTTTATGTCCATTTTAACTCCCTTACAAATTTAGGTAGTTCATCTTTCTAGATCTTGTTTGTTCGGAAAGCTTCTGTACTATGGTCTAAACCTAACTTTTAGTGTCGTTGGTGAAAATGGAAAAGTGTTATCGACAAGATATAAAAAAGTAGATGCAAAACATAATACGACGACCAGTTATAGAAAATCTGGTCTTCAAATTTCTGATTTATAATCTTCTGTCATTGGATAGAAGATTATTAACCAGAAATTTGAAGACCTGATTTTGTGATAGAAGATAATTAATCAGAAATTTCATCTTCCTCGTCAGTCTCAGGAAGAGTATCAATGACAATATGAGACTGACCCTATTAAAAAAATTAGGAGTACGCTGTACGTTTAGGTGTGGGAGAGCCATGCTTCGGCACGAATGGGTCGGCTCGACCGGAGTGATACTACGGCCTCACAGAAAACCGGCGTGAAATAACCACTGCGTTGTGTTTCGCCGTGTGAGTGAGGTTACCGTATACCGTTAGGCCCAATCCTTCCCCTTCCCCAATCCCTCCTCAATCCCTAAATCCCGAAATCCCTAATCCCTAAAAGGTCGGCAACGCACTCGTAACTCCTCCGTTGCGAGTGTCCATGGGCGGCGCTGATTGCTTACCATCAGGTAATCCGTCTGCTCGTTTGCAGACCTATTACATAAAAAAACGACCTACATAATTCATTTTTCATACAAATTCTCCAAAACCAAGTGACATTACGACAATTGTTTCTCAGCAGAGCTTACGTTTTAAAAATGATTGTGGGGTGTAATTACAATTAATTATGTATTCATGTTTGTACGACCGACAGCTGTTTGTAAGTTGTATTATACGACCTGCACGATTATTCGGTTCTAAGCAATATGAGTTATACATACCCTCTTTTCAAAAAAATCTTGATTGCACTAGTACAAATTTGGGGTGTAAAAGTATGTTTTTTTAGGCGAATATTTTTTTCACATTTTTAGATCGACGCAGCGCCAAAAATTAAGTAGGGCTGCATTCTTAACTCATTTTCGCCAAAATGGCGTTTACGACATTTGTTGCCGGAAGCATCGATATATTTACTTTTATTTTTAAAATTTAGTCCAATTAATTGTTTGCACTCACCGTTTTTACTCATGTCAATGGCATTAAGCGATGTGCAAACATAATTGTGCATAAAATTTATTAAATATTTTTTTTTTTGTGATATATTAAACCTTATTATTTTTTCCTTTCAGCCAACCAAATGTACCATATGCCTTAGGAGGATGCATAGTGGAAGACACAGTATCTGACAGGGATGATATGAACATAATGATTGAAGGAGTTAACACTGGCAAAGACCTAGTGACCGAGAATATTGTATCTATTGGCTTGTTTTCAGTACCCAAAAGCTTCATTGATGCTCCAACAGAAAATGGCTGTAATTTTGATATGTTCTCACTGATATTAGAATCTTCAGACTGGTCTAAAGCTAAGATACAGAGTGCTATTAACGAGGTAAGTTGCAATTCAAATTTGATTTTTTTAAATATCTAGTTATCTTTATGTAATTTACATAAAGATTTAATCTGACATACCGGGTAAGTTCGAGTTACTTTGACCCTGCGGGGTAACTTTGATCCAAACCCTTTAACCAATAATAACTGAGAACCAAACATATATTCGTTTTTCATTGGTTCGAAAATTTGGATCAAAGTTACCTCCCAGGGTCAAAGTAACCCGAACTTACGGTAATTATAAGTACTAAAGATGTGCTGAAGGAGCCTTATTCATATTTTTTTTTCTGTTTTTAGTTTGCGAAAAAAGTCCCTCACTTTGAACGTAGCGTGGTAATAAAGATGTCATGTGTGGGCCGTGACAATAAGCATGATTATGAGCAAGAATTCTTCCGAGCAGCATTCCCGAATACACGTCTTGCTGGTTGTTATGGAAACGGCGAATTAGGTATCAATCACCCAGAGCGCTTAAAACCTGAGGGTTTCACTAGTGTAAAACGTCACCGAGCAGATCCTGGCCCTGCATTTGGTATTATGTATTCTTATTCTACAATATTTGTTTATATTGGTTGGGGTAACATAGTGACACCTGCTCAGTCTACTTAAAACCTTAATTTAACTATGCATTTAATTGCACTAACATTCAAGATACTCCCATTAAGTCTTTATATAATTTATATAAAGTTTTCATCATTAGGTGTACTTTTATACAATCATCACTGTGTTTTATACTTTTTGATATGGATCTTTTGAGAGCTTATAATATTGGTATATCTGTAATGTTTTCTCTACCAAAGTGTAAAAGAATTTATAGAATAAGATATAGTGTAGATTAAAAATGTTAAATTGTCAAGAGCCAGTTGCATTAAACATTATTGTAGAACCAGCTATGTAATAAAGACAGCATTTTTTAAGTTCATTTAGATTATAGATAGATTATGTTGTTTTTGCACTGTCAACTGGTGCAGTGGAAGATATTTTATCAGCTTATGATCTGAGCAGTTACATCAAGAATGGGAAGAATGGATGTATTATACAAAAATAGTAGATACGAAAAATATAGAAATTATCAATAATGAAAATGTTACTAACACATATTTGAAAGTCACAATTTTTTATACTAGAAAATAAAGTGAAAATCCCATAACAATTTTGCACTGTTTTTAAACAAAGATATGAGTAAGTAATAAGTTTCATTATGTATACACCTTCATTGATTGAGGTTTTTTTGTAGGGATCATAAAGCATAAAGCACACACGAGATAAGTGTATTTCACTTATCTCGTGTGTGCTTTATGTTTATGATTTTAATATAATGATGTTACTAAGTATAACTTATGTGAGTAGTTCTTAAATATATGATAACGTATGCTTCCCCATGTGTTACATTAAGTTACAATGTTGTGTATATTAGGCCTACAATTTTTACGCGCTTTTTTACTTACTTTGGCCTCTTTATTGTTACCGAGTAATAATTTATTTACGTTCTGTGTTAGATATAAGGCTATCTATCGACGCTAGTCCCGGTCATAAATGTAAAATTACTACGCGTTTATAGAACATTTTTGGTAATAATAGTATGGAGAACATTTTTATTTTTATGAGTGTTTGTGTTAAAAATTTAAGGTTTTTCCTAAGTATGGCGGGTGTTTATGGGTAGCGTTAATTGAATCATATTAAGATTTTCTTCTGTGTCTCGGTTGCGATTACAAACATCGATTTCATATACACGTTACACCCACACCCAGAACAACAATTTGTGGATCGCACACAGTGTTGTTACGTGCGAGAATCGAACCCGCGACACGTTGCATGGCAGCCTGTTGCCTTGCCACCGCGTCATCCGTGCAACCATTACGCGTGTGATACAGTTTTATGTTTTGTATGAAATAATAGACACTATATTTAAAAAACTTCAAATCTATAAACGCGCAGTTAATATATGTTGGACTTTTTGCTCCACTTCTATTTATTACATTAAGCTTTTGTCGCAATGTTTTTTTTGATAAGGTTTTTTTAAGTACAAAGTCAGGAAACAGGTTTTCCTATACTATAGTTATAGTGTCTCATCATCACTTTTTAAAGCAGATTGTTAAGTTATACCTACCAACTACAATTATTCATACTTAAATAATTAGTTTTTCCTTTCTCACAAATAGTATAAAGTAAATTTTAAAATAAGAACAAATGTGTAATAAATCGATTACAATTTTCTGTTCTAGTAAGTACTAATTGGGGTTTATGTAAGTAGGTACCCTAATAATGTAATTAAAATCACCATACTGATTTGTATTGTTTTATTTTGTATGAAAAAATAAATAACTAACTGGCAACCCTGTTAACTTTTGCATAACATTACAAGAAGCGTCATCTATTCATTTGAAAGAGAGTAGCATCACACATCGTTGTTTATGGCATTCATTGTTCCACGGGTCTCGCAACATAATGAGCTTTAATGAGTTGTTTAGAAGACATTAAACGCGTGTGTCATGTGTGGGAAGTAGGATGCGACGCGGATTGCGAAGACGTGTCTCCGATCTACCCAGCTTGCCAACCCCTTATTTGTAATAATAATTAGCTCTGTGTAAAAAGAACCCACTTACGCTGTTACGTAGTAGGCAATTCGTTGTGATGTCGTAGATGGAAAGGATACAGTTCTCGCCTTTCTACTGATTCTTTTGTAATAAACTGCGTCTGTATGTTTGGTGTAGACGTCTGACAACGTGGTAAATTCAGATCAACAGCTGAAATTATTAATTAATTTGATTTATTTATACTTTAATAGTTAATTAGGCCGGTTTGGAAACACGATATTAAGTACGGACAATAAATGATGGAAAACATGCAAAGCGAGCCGTTGCCGCGTTGGTCTTACCTACTGACTTTTATCCGGTCGCGTCGGACTGCCGTCGTCTCGTTGAGACTGTAGGGGATTATGTATATAAATATATATATTTATGCCTCATATGCATGTCTAGTTAGATAGATAGACCAGACGACGGTGACCTGCACCGTGGCCGAAATTGTTTTTTTTTAATGGAATATGAGGCAAACGAGCAGACGGATCACCTGATGGTAGGCGATCGGCTCCGCCCAAGGACATCCGCAACATCAGAGGAGTCACAGATGCGTTGAAGGCTTGAAGGGCGTATCGGTTCGGGAATACCGCCGCCGGAAGACCATTCCAAAGTTTTGCTGTGCGGGGCTGAAAATTACGGGTATTGATATGATTAATTGAATTATTAACGTGCAAGCTGAATGTAATTTATAATTAGGCAATAAGAATGTGTTTTTTCCGCTGAAATAGTAGTATCAAGTTTCGAGTATCAAGTAGGATGGTAAGTAGGTACAATATGTGTGTATGTATGTAATATAGTAAATAAACGATCGGCAAGTGGGCAACGCATTCCCTGCAGGTAAGTATAATCATATATATTATAATCGTATAAATTATTCAGTATAATGATTTTGGAGTCTGGTACATTGGTAAAATATTTTTAACATTAAACGATCCAGTGCCTTTTTATAGCAGTTGAATTTGATTTGCCTATTCGTTTATCTTGTTATTACGTTAATCCATGTAAATAAGAATCAGTTGTAGCTTTCTTTTAACGATAAAAAGGTAGGTAATTACTTAGAGTTACCGTTGAATTTACATAGTTTAACAGCTTCCGTGTAGATGCGCTACTGTTTATTTACTTGTATGGTGTTCCCTCACTTGGCTTATTTACTTTAATAGTTTACCATGACTTTTTATTAAACTCTAGTTTATTACCCCGAGATCCTGTATCTACCTTTGTTTCTCTGAATCAGTAAGTAAGTAGTTTTGGAATATGGAAAATTGTGGAACTAATCATAAAATTCATTATAACATAGGCTTGTTATGAAAAAGAATGTTAGTCCTCAAACTAAGTGAAGTGACGATATCCGTAGCTGTGGCTCTCACATCAAGCTCAGTGGCGGACGATTGGATAGGCCTACTTATATCCAGCAGTGGGCGGAATCGGCCTGATGATGATAATGATGATGAAGAAAAAAAATGTGATTAACCGATGTGGCGAATATGGAGCTAGCACGAAAAACAATGTAGGTAGGTATATCTTAAATATGTGAGTGCGTTTTGTTATGTCTTATTGGCACTACTTAAACACCTTAAGTTTTTGTTTAGTTGTTGGTACGCAAGTGTTCCATAAAATAATAAAAACCCATCTACTTACTCAGTTACAGAATGACTGTGGTGCTTCTTAGCGCTAGATCAATCCGCATATCATGAAAGTGCGATCTTTCACATCTGCTTGAGCTTTGGCACTTATGAGGAAAGTGTGAAGTGAAATCTTGCTACCGCTACTGTCAGGAGCTTTATAGAGATGGATATGTTTGTTACAGACCTATACCTACGTAACTTTGGTACTTATTACTTGCTAAGCCTAGACTTATTATTTGTTCGGAAGCCAATAATCAGCCAGCCTGTATTCTGAACACAGTCTTTTCTCTACGTTTAAAAAAATATTTATTTCTTTTAGGTATTTTTATGAGATATTAAAATATTTTTTTGGATTTAACGGCTTAGTTACTGACGTAACTGTCTGACTCGGAATTCGACTAGTTTCAATTCAAGCCACACGTTAAGGATTCATATTCACGAGCAGCATTGGGCTCGCCGCGTCGCGTCTATTGTTTACGACTTGCCTACACATTTAGTTTGCACGACCATAAATACTGCGATCTAAATCTTTGTACGTAATTATTACGTCTTCGAAATCCCTAAAAATATATACTTGATGACTTACATGATCGGGGATAACTCTGAAAATAATTTAGGTAAGTACCTACTAGATAAATACTGCCTACGTAGACATAAGCGCAACACAAATTTTTCTCCGTGTAGACAAAATAATGCCACTTAACAAGGTGGACGATTATTTGGACATAAAAAATGCAGTTTAATTTTACATATCAGTACAAAAACTGGCTAATCTGTTTTAGGAGCAGCTGTAGGCAGCTAGTAACGAGCAAATAATGACTAAACCGACATAATATAAGAATATATCTAATTACTAAATAGGTAGGTATTATTTGATGAGCTTTGCTACATACAACAGAATGATTGGTATGCCAATAATAAAATTATAATTGGTCTTACCGTTAACTTGCAAATACATGCTTACGATGTTTACGACGTGGACGCAATTGGACCGAAAAGTATTAATTCGAATTAGAAATCTTCATACGAGAACAATGCAGTTTTATATGGGACCATAGTATCTATGTATTTTATTTTATATTATTATAACAATAAATTGCCGCTGCGATCGCGTGTGGTGCGCTCCCCGAGACACGCAACTCGAAATGTGATAATTTTACCTCTGTTTCAAAATGATTGACACATCTAGTGGAAATCATTGAAATTAAACACCTTTGATATATGTTTAAAGTGTTAATATTATGGTCTATTTGATGGCTGGTTTACGTTTGTTAATAGTAAGTAGTTGTTGGCAAATTTTTTAGTTGCTCTATTTGCTGAGAACTGGAACATTTAGATGGAGTTTTATTATTATAATTTAATGCACAATGATATGTAAAAAATATTTATATTTTAGAAGGTCATTTTTCATAAAAGAAATAAAGCTTTAAAATAAGAAAAACAGCCTTAACAAACGTCCAAAAATACTTAGGTACATGGCACTGAAAGTAATAATAGAGACGTTCAGCGGTTGTTGAGCCGTCCGTGGCTGTGTTTGAGGGTTCGTTTCGGTAGGGGATGGGTCGGCAGTCGTCTCCGTCCGTCACCGGCCCGGCTTCAGTGTTCCGCCACATGGCTGCACGGACGCACGCCGCGAGCCGACTCGGAAATATCCGCACGCGGTAGAAAGTCGCGCGAAACATACGTTTGATTATTAAGTAATTTTTATATTTTATTTTACTTGTGTTATAATTCTCGCTTTATTACGTAATTTTTTTCTATGACAGATAAAATATTTTTTGTATGTAGGCCGGTAAAAAAACATAGTGTGGCTCAGTAATGTTTTATGCAAAATATTTTCACACATCACATCACGCAAGTGGAGTTATTTTATTGTGGAATGTAATTAGCTAAACGTTGCAAACTTTTTCGCATGTTGGAAACTGTTAGGTTAGGTTATAAAATATACAGTATAATAAAACAATGTCACCATATTATTTGAATTAAAAACTGGAACACATAAAGGTATTTCATAATTATTAACTGTAAAAATGAAATAAAACCGTCGCATGTTTTATATAAAAAATTTAACTACTATTATAAATTGTTCTAGTCATTATTTTAACTAAATATTTTTTTATTATGTTATTTTTTTATAAATAATTTTTAATACTAATTATAATTAGAGATCATAGATGTTGAGTACGGAAAATATTTTCAAAATAATCATTATGCTCGCAAAACCACCTCAAAAAGAATAATATAATTTTTTTTAATAGTGCCGACATTGTGTATAGTCGTGAAGTTTGCAAATGAGAAACAAACATTAATTCAAGGTGTTATTAAAGCCGTGCTCGTGATTAATGTAAATGTAGCGAATAGCGAGAGGAGCGAGACTGCGCCGGCGCATCACACGCCTTCACTTTCTCCACACGAATGTAACCGCCAAAATGATATTAGATACCATCAATTAATTCATTCATTGCTGCGGTTTAGATTGGTTATTGTCCGGGGATAATTACAAACTTATTTTGTCTGAGTGCTTATTACGTACAGTGACGATGTTTTGACTAACGATGTTTCTCTATTGAATCGTAGTTAGGTGTTCAATGTAATTAATGCTCATCACTGTATTATACAGTGCAAGCAATTTGTAGATTTATTCATCATATGCCTTTGAAGTCGCTAACAAAAGAGTAGAAAATATTTTCCCGTTTTGTTAGTCCCATTAGATATCAATGCGGCTCATTAAGGTTTTCCATTTCTGTTGCAGACTGTAGCTAAGGTAGGATCGAAGTACTAGTTCGGGGACACTAGATCAAGTGTATTATAACCAGTAACACTTGAGGCATTCAGTGGACCAGTGCGGACAGTGATCAGTTATACAGTTAAATAAAATATTGTGGACACTACGGAACATAAACATAAATTAAGTGAAAGTTTGTAATTTCCTATATTTTGTGTGGGAGAGGTCGAGCTTGAGTGCAAAGACAAAGCAGAGCGGAGGAACAATGGACCACCTGTTCCGGCAGCGGCGGATTAGTGTGCCCAAGAGGTGAGCACTTTCTTAAGCTACTTTTATAATGATTATAGTATTCAAGTCTAAGCGTTTAGTGTTCGCATTGTTCAACTCTTTACTGTACAGTATTCCACGCCGGAATATTGTCCACTATAGTGCACCCTGATTTTTTTCTTAAATACAACTGCCATTGTAGACTAATTCTAATGAAATAAAAGCTTGGTATAAAACATCGAATTATTTAAAATTTAATTTGATTGTCGAAACGATTAAAATCGAAGAGATGTAAACATCGATTTCCACGTTCGGGTGAATGACACGGCAGACAGAGGCTGGCGGTGTGCGCTTTTTGTCAACTTTATCACGAGCATTGTTGCCGGGAACTGACAATGGTGCGTTGACTTCCATGCTTACGTACTTATCTTCTATTTTTTTACATACATAACCGCAGTTTTATTGTATGAATATACTTTATACCATTGATTAATGACCTTCAGTTCAAATAATTAACAAACATTTCTTCAATCTTGGAATACATTGTGCTGAAATGTATAACCAACATAGTTAAAGTGTAACACACATCAATACTGAGAATTTTTGAATGTTTATAAATATATTGCAGTAAGTAACTAAATTGTTTAGCTATGTATGTGTATATAAGTAACTACTAAAACATAATTTGTTCCCTTTTCTTTGCGAAAGTTCTGTTTGTAGATGTAGTTTAATGAGTTTCTTTGCAACATTGGTTCCAGAATATAGTTCAAAGTTTCACGTAAAGATACGTTGCCAGGAAAATTTTAAGCAGAACGTGCTTATCTTAACAAAGTTCCTTCACCCCTTGTTACTCCTAGCGTATAATGTAGTGTTTAAACTGCAGTGCTTGGCGCAAAGCCATGAGACGCTTTATTTATTTAGCCAAAGATTACAGAAACTACGTAGGGATGAAATGCATAAAATAGTATAACTAGCTTTACAAATGCTGTTATCCAGTAATTCCAGTTGCCGCATGATCTTGCGAAAAGATTTGTTAAGTCATACTTAGGTGGAATTGTATTACACGTCCAAAGAAGTCAGTTGTGCCTGTTAAATGACTTAGAAGAGAATAATTATTTCTGAATTTATTATATAGCTAATAAGCACAGGTAGGTACTAAAAAAACATCTTACTTAAATAAAAAATAAAAAATGCTAGGCCTACATGATTATACATCGGAAGCAATTAACATTATTTACAGCAAACATAGATATATGTAGTCATAAATATTACCTATTAAATGGGTGTTGTAAAACTTGAAAAAAGAATAGTTTTATTATCTGTAACCAGTGTGGTCCTTCTATCTAAATGCCAGAAGTGGTTTAAGGAGTTTTCAATGCCTCGTTGTTTCTTCATATTTCCATATGATATATGTTTCTATTCAAGCGAACTGTGTTATTATGCAAAACGAAGTTCATCCTATTGAATTATTTATTCATTGTGTTTTCCTGCAAAGGGCATGGAGTTTTTGTTTTGTGCGCTGTCAACATTTTATTTGTTCCTTGCTCTCTTCATAAATAGTAAACGATTTGAATTATATTGTGATTCTGAATTATTTGTTTTGCGTGATTTTCTGTTCATATTTATGAAGTGTCCAGAAGGCTCTTTATGAGTGCCTAATATTTCTCTTTTTACACGAGGAATTTCATAATTTCTTTGGACTTAATACTATCTGTAGAATTGGGATTTACGTCATGATTTGTATATTAATTTGATATTCAGTAGGTTTGTGAAATTTTTGAGAAAAAGTTTTATGCAGCACGGGTTTCTTTAGGTACGAACTTTCAAGTCCTCCATTTACACGAAATATATAAAAAAGCTAATTAAACAATTTTTGAAATATTCTTTAATCCAGCAGTTTTAAACGATTTTAAGGTTTTGTGAAAAGCTGGTAGGGAATCTTAAAATTGCCTACATCTGGTACTCTCAACTCAAAAAAAAATAAGTCTTAAGGCCTCGATATATAGCGTCTGAGTACAGAGTTTTATTAAAATCGGTGCAGTAGTTTCCAAGATATTGATTCTTTAACGTGGAAAACCGCGACGCCACACGCTCTAAGTATAGGAGCTGAATGGTTATGGATTAGCTAGGCTGTTAGACTGCATAGCGATACTACAATCATTATAATTGAATATGGTGTGAACAAATACCTTTTCTTTTTAAAACGGAAGAAGAAGGGTGCGAACACAATGAAAATGGCCGACACACATCATAAAATGCTACAAATGCTTACTAGGCATTACATTAAAAAAGTTACAGCTATCTGGCTGTTAACCTTTCGGTAACAATTTGTGTGGGAGAGTCAGAGTCAGAGCTTCGGCACGAATGGGCCGGCTCGACTGGAGTAATACCACGGCCCCATAGAAAACCGGCGTGAAGCAATGCTTACTTTGTATTTCTCCGTGTGATCCATCAACACTATCCCCAATCCTCAAATCCCTTATAACCCACAAGAGGTCGTCATGCACTTGTAGAAAGTCCTTTAATATTACAAGTATCCCTGGGCGACGCTGATTGCTTATCACCCGGTAATCCGTCTACCCGTTTTACGACCTATGACATACAAAAAAATCGCGAACTATTTGTTCAACAATGATTGTGTAGTATAATTGACATCCGTATTTAACGATGATTTCTTTGACAGTGTAGTAGTGATAAATGTTCCTCGTTTCTTTCTCAGACGATTCTTGTTAGTCATCATTGTGTGTAAAATTATTGTGTCTTGCCAACAAACTGTTTGTTTCTCCGAAGCAGACGGAAGCTTCTTGCGGTTGTTCTAAGTTCATTAATTATGTATTCAGTTTTGAGAGCCTGCCTGTTGATATATATTTGACTGATAATTTTGGAATTTAGACACCCTTAATATCCAGCTTATATCCACTAAGAGGTTGTTAAAAATACCTACTCTTCAAAATCACCTTAAGCATTTTATTTGCTCACATTACATCACATTTTCCTGCTTTAGGGCCAGGCTAGTAGTTTTGCAAAAAACATCAATTGTGTATTTAATATCTCTGATAGTAGGGATTATGTGCACCTAATATTGGTGATAACGTCAGGAATATGAAATCTATTGATCCAGCCCTCTGATGACGTTTCAATTTAATAATAGATATACGATTATTACTATCTACCTTATAAATATAAAAATGAATGGTCACGTTGATTTTTTTCGGGCACGCTACCATAGCAGCGGTAAGACCCCTCTTTGAGGAGTGGCTTGAGACCACCTCCCGTCTGACGCAGGTGCTTACCGGGCAGGGCAGCTTCGGTAGGTTCCTGTTTCGGATTCAGCGGGAGGAAACGCCCGAGTGTCGTCATTGTGAGGACCACCTAGAGGATACGGTGGAGCATACGGTAGCGGTATGCCCTGCCTGGGCTGAGCACCGCCGTATCCTCAGGGAAGTGATCGGCGGCGGCGACCTCTCGCGCCCGGCCTTAGTCGAGGCCATGGTGCGGAGTGAGAGGAACTGGGACGCCGTCTCCTCCTTTTGTGAAGCAGTCATGCTCGCAAAGAGAGAGGCGGCCCGCGTGAGGGAGCAATCCTCCTCCTCACGCCCCAGCAGCCGCAACTGGCGACACTACGGGCGTCGGGGATCGAGGGACGATCTCCGGCCACCGTAAGTACGGGCCTGCGGTCGGCGAGTAAGGGCAGCTCGCCGCCCGACCAGAACCAGGCCCGAGCGTACGGCGCGTAGCGTTCCGCGCGCGCATCAAAGACCCATTCGACCACCACAGACGGGGCCCTAAAGGGCTGATGTTCAGCCGGGGTTGCGGGGTAAGCGCAATGAGGTACCGCGACCTCGGCACAGAGCAGGAGAAGGAACAGGGGGGTTTTTAGTCAGTAAGAGTCTGACACTCCCTCCTGCCCGGCCCTGGGCGGGAGAAGTCATTTGATGATTTTCCCCTCACAAAAAAAAAACGTTGATTTTTTTGACAGGTTTTTTCCATTTTCAATCATATTTCTCATATTTTCATGAAGGAAAATTCGTAAAAGTGCCGTAAAATCCACCCGTGTTGGTATTCAAAAACTTAGCTTATTAACTCAAATAAACGAACCGTTTATATTTTTATTAATTAAAGTTATTGCATTTTAACAATAGCTATGCACGTCAATCACTGAAATATTTCTCATCGAGAAACTGCGTTCATGCTCCAATTGCACGGCGTCTGCGCTTGCGCCGCGAGACGGCTGTTGTCATCGTACGCGCATGCGCATCATCTTCGAGACTTTATTGCCTTGATTTCACGAGCATTAAAGAAATCACGTGATTACAACGACCTTAATTTCAGGCAATAAACACTCAATGCTAGTTCCTGTGCGCATGTAACATGGTGATGCCAATTATAAGTCTTATTGTCATACTCAGAGACAGTTAATGATTACTTAAAACTTTATTCAGTAACGATTTTGTTCCGAAAACTATTGCTTAGGCTTTTTTTTTGAAGGGGAATATAAAAAAAACCCTAAGCAATAGTGGTTGGGTAGGGATTGAGGAGATTGTCAGATACTTTCTGACTAAAAACTACCCTGTTCGTTATCCTGCTCAAGGCCGAGGCCGCGGTGAATTATAGCATTTGCAACAGCAAGCATGGCTGATTGCTAAGGGTTAAGTACCTACCCGTTCGCTGTCTCTGAGTAAGTCGGTTAAACTTCATGTTACAACAGTTAAGAGCGTGCAAAATACATAGTTAAATGTTTATTTATTTTCTAAATAATGATAAATGTAAGGAAAGTGGCATTTATTCTAATAACTTTGTAAGTCTAGACGACATACATTAAAAACGTCGAGTTTCTAATTGAAAAATTATACGGAAAAATTTAAACAAAAACTTTTTTTAAAGACCGTTTTTCGACTTTTTACAAAAGCATCTACTTTCTACAATTTAAACCGTTTAAGCAAATATTAGTTTAAAAAGGTTCTTTCGTAATCTTTAAACATAATCTTTTCCTCATTTAGGTAATATACCTAATAGACAAGTTACTAATGTAGTTGTTTATT